GGGAAAGTCCAGCATATTTTTCTGTTTTGCCACAAATTTCTTGAAGTTCCCTAATCGTGTGTTTAGAGAAACTGAAAATAGATGACATAAAAAATGGTGTGATCTCTCAAATAGTCTGCAGACTTTACAAAGCCTCTTCCAGCTGCTGGCAGATGGCCTGTTTATTTCAAACCGTATTTGGTGAAATAACATTCAAATGCAGCAAAAGAATGTCTTACTCTGAGGTTACTTGTAATAGAATGTGACCTGTCGGTTGGAGGGTAAGTTTAGCTGCAGGTAGCGGTGACAGCTTTTATCTGACGAACTCACAAGTTACGCGTATGTATGGCCCCATCAAAACAGTCATTAAGAAATAGTCCAGTGCTGCCAGTGAAGTCCTTTTGTAAGCCATGTGTGGACCAGAGTGAATGCTGAGTCTGTCAGTCCTGTTACTGGTTCTGTGGTCTGTATCCCTGGTTTCCAACATGGGACCAACTCCCCCACTTCCACTCTGTCCAGGAGGGCTAGTCGTTCGACCTCAGTGAGGTGCTGTCACCTAAAATGGAATTGGCACGCAGCAGGCCCTAGTGTCAGCTATCATTGATCCGCACATCTTCTTGTCAGATGCCTTTGAAAAGTGACTCTTAGACCTGTCGCCGCTGTTTGTCGGCTCCCTGTAGTCATTAGGTACTTAGGTCACCCAAGGGCATCAAAGAAACGAGCGCGTGTTCCTTTCTTCCTGCCGGGGATGACAGTGGCCCTTTCCCTGTGGTCCGCAGAGCTGGTGGCGTTGAGATCTGTAACGGGGACCGGAAGATAAAGGTCTCCAACACCCTCGAGAGCCGGCTGGACCTCATCGCCCAGCAGGTGAGTGCGGGCTGCTGCCTGCGCATGGTTCTGGAAGGGGCTCCGGAAACACGTCCATGGACTGCTCTTTGGCATGTCGTTCTTCACCTTTCCTGAAAAGAGGAGGAGCTGGCCTTTTCTAAGGAACGGCATTCACCTACGGAAGGGCTTAGGGTCAGAAAGGGTTTTCTTTTGAGGAGAACAAAAGAAAGCATGTGTTTACCAAAGTGGCCGTGGGCTGTTGGCTTTCCCTGGCTTGTGTCAGTGAATTCTGGAAACAGCTGGGGAGATTCCCGCTGTTCAGAAGCCCGGGCATGGTCAGTAGTCGTTAGCTCTGGCTCTGGCTTCTATTCCCGCCTGAGTGAAGCCATCTGCTGTTGGTGCAAGTGCTCCCCTTGGCGCGAAAGCACTGGGACCCGGGTGGGCGTTGCTGATATCACAGCGTGTGCCTCAGAGCTGGCCTGTGAAACTTCAAATGCCCTTCCTCAGTTGGTCCATCACAGGGCAGCACCCGTGTGCCTGGCGGCTCCTCTGTCCGACTGACTCCTCTGAGGGCCGTTTCCGTCGCCACACCAGGCACTTCACTGTGCTCCTGCACAGGTGCAGCTCCCTCTCAGTCACTCCAGACAGAGGGCTCATCTTCGCAGGTCAAGACGGAAAAACAAAAACTCATGAGTCAAAGCAATCTTGTCGCACAGTCGAGAACTGCGCCTGTGAGTTGTTGAGACTGGGACTCTCAGGGAGCAGAGAGCCCCCGCACCTTCCCCCAGCCAGTGGCTGGTGGTGTGGAGTCGCTGACCTTGCAATGAGTGGCCGCCAACGCCCATGACCCAGAGTCTGAGCATGGAGTGTGTCTATGCGCCCTACGTCACAGGGCAACAGTGGAGTTAGGAATGGCCTGAGGACTGTCCTCTGCCTTCTTTCAAGGAGCCCTGGTGGCACTGTGAGTCAGCATTGTGGGCTGCTGACCAGGAGGTTGATGGTTCAAGCCCACCAGCCTCTGTGGGAGAGCGAGGAGGCAGGCTGCTCCCGTGCAGCCTTACAGTCTTAGAACACCTATGGAGCGCACTGTATCCTGTAAGGTCCCCTTTAGTTGGAATGGACTCAACAGCAGCCTCTGCTTCACCAAGCATTCAGCGTTCATTCCAAATGTGTGGTTATCTAACTCTCACCGCGGACTCTGTAAGGGAGCCCTGAGCTGCTCACCACAAGGTCAGCAGTTTGGGTCTGCCAGCTGCTTGCTCTGAGGGAGAAAGAGACAGCCATTTAACCTTATAAAGAGTCCAAGTATCAGAAACCCAAAGGGGCCGTTGGACTCTGCCCTCTAGGGTCACAGTGAGTCGAATTGCTGCCCGACAAGGCGCTCTTGATCTGTTCTGTCGGAAAAGAGAAGTGTCTGCTGTGCGTGGCGTGGCTCTGCTTTCCTCCGTCCCTACCCCCGCCCCCCAGGGGAAGAACACACTGGCAGTTCTTTTGAAGTTCTCCAACACTCGTTCATTAAGACAATGATTTCTTCACAGATGATGCCCGAGGTCCGGGGAGCCTTGTTTGGTGCTAATGCCAACAGGAAGTTTTTGGACTAAGCTTTTGAAGGTGGAATTCAGTCCTCCAGGGATACCATCTGGAAGTTTCCATTATTTGAAGAACCAAGATTATCTGTGTAACCTCTCTGCTGTTCTACTGTTCTGTATCAATGGGATACCCTACTGTAGCTAATGCCCTTGGCCTGATTGTTCCCAATAGGTGTAAGTCTCACTTAAGACGGCGGGGAACCAGTCCATCCAGAAGCCACTCGCTTTCCCTTGGTTCCGCAGCCGAAGGGTGGGGTCAGATGACAGCTGCGTGACTCCACCGGGCCCTCTGCTCCCTCCAGATCCCCGTCTCCTGTGGAGGGGTGGTGTGCAGGGTTCTCTGCTTGCAGGTCTGTGTACTTTCAGGTTAAAACGCATGTGAGGCATGCATTCCTTCACCTATAGCAGCTTCACCGTGTGACCTAGTTGGGCCTAGATGTTGTCCCCATTTGTAAATGTGACTTAAAAGCTAAACCATGAATATGCTTTATTTATTAAAAGGTTTATGTGGAATTTATGGTAAAGTATTTGTTTGTTTTTAATAATTTTAAGTTTCTATACTACAAATTTGTGACCTGAGGAAGGCTCTTACTGAGTTAAATGAAAAAGAATCATTTTCCAAGGTCCTGTCACACTCGATCATACATAGCTGTCCCTACCAGAGTCCAAGAGCCCGTGTGTCCCGGCACTTCCTGGTCCCTGTTACTAGGCTAACCCTTCACCCTAAGTATCTGGCACCCATGTGCCGTGCCCCCACCCCCACCACGCCCCCCAGGGTCTCCTAGCAGTTTTACTACTGTGTTGTGGGAACAGGTCTACTGGTGTTGGCAGAGTTACCAAAGGAAGGACACCAAGGTTTGAGGGTTGCTGTGTCCCAGGCCTAAACCTTCCGCAGAGCTCCCGCCCCCCACCCCCTCTCCGGGGAGTTTGTCTGCAGCCCGAGGTCTCGCAGATTGTGTAGTACCCTGCTTAGCTGGAGTTTTACCTACAGTGTGACTGAATAGGCCCACCAAGGTGATCCTGACCATCTTAGCACCATCCTCTTCCTCATTGACCCAAATTTCCACAGGGGGGGATTAATGGCAACGAAGCCTGGGACAGGTATTTTTCCACTGGTCCCTGACCCCGCCTGTGTGACGTCCTTGCCCTTCTCGGGAGCAGCCCTGTGTGGGGCGGGAGACCGGTCCCAGCAGACTCGCTTCCTCCGCGTGATGGATTGACGAAGGCTCACAGTGCAGTCACTTGAACTACCCCTGTGGGCACAGCCCCCATCTTCATGAGGGACAGTTCGGAGACTGACGGGGCTGCCTGGTTCTGAGGTGGACACGGTCAAGGCAGGTGACAGGCCATGTTCGTGGAGAGGTTTAACCACCTGGCTTTATTTCAAATGGCTTGCACGAACATTGGTGCGGAGGGGTCCAGAGAGCCCAGGCTCCAGAAGGTTTATGGCCAGCCCTTTCCACTCCCCAGTAACCGCACCCCCGCCAGCACAGTGAAAGGCCTGGCTTGGTTTCATACGAAGTCCTGACTCCGAGGGCTTTCATGGTCCTCTTGAATCTCCGATGCTCCTCTTCCTGCAAATTCAGTGCTAGCACTAACTGTTAATTATGAATTTGGGATCAGCAAAGCTAAATCTTAGAACTGACTCGCGTCTACCGAGGGTTGAGCGTGAGATCAAAACGCAGTGTAGCAGGAACCCCCTCCGCCTGTACTAACTGCGAAGGCCTGCCAGGAAACCCACCAAACCAGGGCCACGCTGGTAAGTGTGGTTCGGGCTTCTGCAGATCCCTGGGAGGCATTCTCCCAGAGGAGACAAGCGCAGGTGTGCAGGGAGAGCAGAGTGCACTAGGGTCCCTCCCCAGAATGAGGTAGTCCTACAAGTTAGATGGCAAGGTCTGGTGTACGTGGGCTGGGTAGAGAGGCGGCTGCCGGGAAAAGGACTACTCAAACAACTTCAAGATCCGCTCTCCAATCCCAATGAAATAGACGCCTTGGGCAATCCCGAAGAGGGGGGCGATGACCAGGGCCCGGCAGCCTGCGCCTTTCATGAAGGCAGCTGGGCCCTCTCGAATCCAGAGCTTCCTGCAGAGAGAAGAGGCTGGTGAGCAGAAGGGCAGAAGTAGGTGGCAGGGATGCTGTGTGGCACCTGCTCCCTCAGGCTTTAGTCCTCCGAGAGAGGTGCCACTTTCCACAGCAGTACCAAGGCCCCGGATTTGTGGGAGGCAGGCCTTGCTCACGGTGTTTAGGCGGTTTGGTTACTTAGCTATTGAATCAAGGCTCCGGAAACCAGCTGGATCTTGGACTTGGCTAGACTCTTTGGGAGAAAGGGTGTGGAGATAACGGGAGAAGGAAAAGGCTCCCCAGGTGGCCTGTTTGCGCTGAGAGGTGTAAGGGAGGGTAGCGAAGTGGGTCTCCATGTGGCCCAATGTGGAGGCCGCTCTGGCAGCCGCTGGCAGCAGGGCGGGCTGGGACTCACCTGGCACAGTCTGTGAGCCCGCTGTAGACTTCCTCCCCCAGGCCCTTCTTGAGGGTTTGGATCCGAGTCTTCAGAACTAAACCAAACCAAGGAACGGTGAACAGAGAGAGCGGCCGTCTTGCTTCGGGGGCTCTCTCAACATGAAGTGACCGTTTTACATACGTAAAACAGTCGTGGGGCCAGTTCTGCCATTGTGAGAACTCGGGGAGAGGATGAGGGACACCATGCTTGCTGTGTGGAAAGATCCGCCCCCCTCCCCCCGGCCACCTGTGGGGTAGAGAAATAGGGTGCAGCCCCAGATAACAGAAGCAAAGGCCCACACTTGATTTAGTCCCTGCTCTCAGCTCATGTGTTGACTGGGGCAGTCGTTTACAGCTGAAGGCGGGGAGCTGATGAGCTGGGCAGCGGGGCCGTGAGGAGAAACAAGACTGGGTCTCCTTAGCCCCTCATTCTTTCTGAGGACTTCTGGGGGGGTCACAGGTTGACACCCCCAGGAGGATGTTCACAGTTTTCAGCCTCATCATTTGATCCTGAAGTCCCAGGTACCCCGCAGACCCCTTGACAACCCCGAGGCCCCTGGGTCTCCCCAGCGCTCACCGTCCAGAGGCGTCACTGCGACGGCAGCGACGGAGCCTGCAGCGCAGCCCGACACAAAGGAGTGCGCAAAGGAGGCCTTCCCAGAGAGCGCGTCGAACCCCAGGCCGTTGAGGCAGGCGAAGAGCGGGAAGTAGATGACAGAGAAGGGGATATCTCTGCAGAGAGGAGGAGGAAGCTGAGCCGCCTCCCCACCACCCACCCCTCCACCGGAAGTCAGCCGGGAGGCCTTTCCCATAAGCTGTGTTGCTAGTCTGGTGAGTCAGAGCCAAGCCAGGCCGCCTGTGCTGCCCTGGCAGCCGGCGGTACTGGAGCGAGGTCGACAGCCTTCCAGACGCCCTCGGTCTGCCGCACCTCCCAGTCCACTCGCCGGCCAGCAGCCTCTGCAGGGGAAACCCAGACTGGGGACCTGCCCTCCTGGAAGGTCGAGCTGAACAAGTGGCTCAGTGTGGACCAGCAGGGGCGGGTGGGATGGTCAAGTTCATCTAGGGCAGCCGTTCTCAACCTGGGGGTTGCGACCCCTTTGGGGGTTGAACGACCCTTTCACAGGGGTCACCTGATTCATAACAGGAGCAAAAGGACAGATGAAGTAGCAATGAAAATGATTTTCTGGTTGGGGGTCACCACCACGTGAGGAACTGCATGAAAGGGTCATGCACTTAGGAAGGTTGAGAACCGCTGCTAGCTCCTGGCCTAGGAGTAAGCAATTGAGAAGATTTGGGCCAGAACTTAATAACTCAATCAAAAGCCCAGCAGTAAGGGAATACGAGAGGGCATCCAAGGGGCCTTCTAGAGAGTTCATGGAAGCATGGAATTACAAGGGGAATTTATCCACCATGTTTGAAACACTCCCCCCCCACTCCCAATCCCCTCCCCTCCCATGGTATTTACTTGTAAAAGATCTGCAGTGGTGGGCCACACAATACCTAGCACTCGTGTGGACCTGCTCACTGGAGAAGCAACTCATGTTCAGCCCTCCGGGGACCCTTTCTGTCTAACCCAAATTCTGGACGAAACGAGGAGTGTGGAGACCACCTGCTATCCTGGCTTGGGCACGGGAAGACAACGAGGGTAACCTGGCCTTTGTTCCCTCTGCTGTTCACGTGGGCCGCAGGAAACCAGGGCTGGCTGTGCATGCTCCAAGTTCAGAAAGAGCCTCACCTGAGGAGAGTGGCGCCCAGCCCCTTGTAGAGGCCGGCCAGGCCTCGAGTGCGAAGCAGCTCCCAGGCAAGGAGGGTGGCGGATGGGCGCTTGCGGGTGGAAGCTGACCCCGTGGTGTAGGATCGGGAGGAGGCAGGTGCTGAGGCCGGGCTCTGAGGGTGGACGGCTGGAAGGCAAAGGACAGACTCCCCATCACAACCCAGTGCCCACAGGGGCTGGGAAATAGTCCCCACCGTGCAACTCCCAGAGCCTAGACCAGGACAACTCAAAATGGAAGATTAGACCTCTGAAGATTGTCCTGGGTTTAGGACATTCGTTGCGGACTCCAAGGAAATCTCTCCCACGTCTGTTATCATCTCATGAGCTGCCCAGAGGAAGGACAGGGCTGACGCCGCCGATTTGGACAGGTGGACCAGCCATCCCAGAGTCAGGGGACAGTGTAGTGGCAGCTGCAAGACACCACTGTCCCCTGCTACAGCTTGCAGCAGCCCTGCCAGGGCCGCCACCTCTGAATCAAGCTGTGGCTCGAACCCGTCACCCATTCCTAACCAGGTGGCACACAGGAAGCCCATACATCTCCCACCGAGTGTGGAAAGTAGCAAATTCCTGTGTTTCCGCCAGACATTCTCCCCTGCAGTCTCAGGGAGCTGCCTCCTCCCTCTGGAAGGCAGATGCAAGGTCTTTTTTTGCCCCTTAGATTTGATTCTTTGCAGACCGATCATTTGATTAACGAAGAGCTCCTCTGCGTGGCGTCAATGTGGTGGGGTGTGTCCCCGAGCAGAGTAAAAACAGAGGTGGGTTAAGTCCCACGGATGGATGGCCACAGGAGGCACGTCAGGCAATGGTGCGGAGAGGTATTTTCTCCCGTCTCAGTGTCAGAGAGGTACGGTCTGCCTCTTGGAAGCTTTTCTGGTCCCAGTTTTGTTTGCTCCCCAGCAGGGGCCATATGCCACACTAGAAGAGAGTCCTCATATATATTGATTTTCTTTGGTAGTAATCTAGGTCCGGGTCTCTTAATAAACAGCTTTGCAAGTAGTTAACTGACAGGTTAGTGGTTTAAATCCAACCAGAGATGTCTCAGAAGAAAGGCCTGGCAAACTGCTCCCCAAAGATCAGCCGTGGACAATCCACAGAGCATAGTTCTGCTAACACGCGTGGGGTCGTCATGGGCAGGAACACCTGGATGGTGACAGGCTTGGTGGTTTGTGTGGGGGATTTTTTGGGGGGTGGGGTGGGAAGATAATCACCATGTAAAGTTTCCCATGGAAAGAAACAAGGTACCGTGCCAGTCGCAACTGGCCATAAGCAGTAAGTCACTTAATCACTACAAATCTTACAGTCCTGTTCTCTTCAAGTGCACATAGCCAATCTAAATCCCTTCACTTCCTTTTCAGTGTTCCGGATACTGAAGCCCCCCGCCCAGGCCGGGAGCCTGAACACGGCAGGCCTTCCGCTTTGCAACTCAACACTCAACCCACTGACTCAGAGTGACCCCACAGGACAGAGTAGAATGGCCCCTGCACATCTTTACGAGAGCAGGCAGCCTCATTTATCTCCTATGGAGCAGCTGGTGGGTTTGAACTACTGGCCTTGTGGTTAGCTGCTCAAGGCGTAGCCCACTCCAAACACTGGGGGCTTTCTAGCTCCTGAACTCTTAGTCTTCCTTCAGCTTTGCTTCAGGCTGACTGAACCCAACCTAAACGTCCGGCTGAGTTCTCGCTTGTTTGAGGAGGAGGGCACCTACATTTGCTGAGGACCCACCCCTCCATGTCAGCTGCCGGGTGACCGCATTCTCCGTTAGCTGATCAAGTCAGACACTGTGGGTTTACCTGAGATGAGAGGCCCCATTCCACTAGGGATGAGCTGGGCAGCCAGTCCTGGCTCGTACGGATCTGCCCTGGCCTAGCACCTACACGGGTTCTATTTTGCCTGGAAGGTCAGGGTTTAGGAAGGGGCCAAGCTTCTCCTTGAAGGAATACCAAATGAACAGAAATGGCTTCTCTTTTCCCTTTTGGACGCCTTCTCACTGCAGGTCTGCTTCCATGGCATAAAATTCCTTTTGACTCCAGGTTTAGTGAGCAGGCCGTTGGCGTGTCTTAACACCTGCAGGACATCAAGTCTGCTAAAAAGGCATCGTGAGAGAGGTACTAAGTTCTCCTGAACCAAGATGGCCACTTCTGCTGCATGTTCTGGAGCTGGACGGGTTGAAATCTAGAATGGTTACCATAGAGACCCCAGGACCCCAGAATGCAGACTGGGGTCTAAAAATGAGGGCTGCTGAGCCGGTGTGAGGGGAGGGCTAGGGCTCACCCAGGCGTCCAGCATCCTGCAGCTGAATCTTGAGCATTTCCATGGGGCAGGTCACCACCACCTGGCACATGCCCGCTCCACAGCCAGCCAGCATCTCCATCTTCAGGTTGCGCTGTCTCCTGCGGAAGCAAGAGTCGCTCCCTCAGTCCTCACGAGCCCTGTGCCCACTGTGGCCCTGCTGCCTTCCCCGGGAGCTGGGGCTTTCTGCAGGTGATGGTTCGCCGTCAGGTTCCACTCTCCCAGCGGGGTCATAATCGATCACCTGCTCTCAGGCCGGGTCCCCTCAGACATGCTTAAAACAGAGCTGGCCAGGGAGAGGTAGGGGGTGGGGTGTGTGTGTG